AAAAAAAAAAAAAAAAAAAAAAAAAAAAAAGATTTTTCTTTATCCCTAATTTTTATTTATTTTATTTATTTATTCGCCCCGCCCCCCCAACAGGGTTTCTCTGTGTAACAATCCTGGCTGTCCTGAAACTTGCTTTTGTAGACCAGGCTGGCCTCAAACTCACAGAGACCCACCTGCTTCTGCCTCCCAAGTGTTGGGATTAAAGGCATGCACCATCACCACCCAGCTTTATTTAGTCTTTCGAGACAGGGTTTCTCAGGCTGTAGTCCTGGCTGTCCTGGAACTCTCTTTGTAGACCAGGCTGGCCTCAAGCTCAGAGATCCTCCTGCCTCTGCCTCTCAAATGTTGGAATTAGAGGTGTCTACCATCACATCCAGTTTTATTTAATACTGGGAACTAAGCACAGGCATTCAACATGCTAAGTAAGCACTCTATCAAGCAAGCCAGTAGTTCAATATCAACCACAGCCCCGTAATTTGATTACAATATACCATAATGTGCTTTTGTCTCTGATGGCTGGGATCCACTGTAATTCTTGGATGGGATCAATGGTATTTATCATTCTTATCAACAGATTTGGAAAACTTTTGGCCATCATTTTGTCAAGAATCTATTCATTCTCCCTTCTCTCCACTCACACTTTTATTTCCTGAAGTCTTTCTTCTTGGCCTCCATCTGGATAGTTTCCATTGCTATATGTTTTCAATTTCAGTTCTTTCTATCCTGCAGTTTCCATTTTACTTTTAATCCCATAACTAGAAGTTACATTTGGTTCTTATTTTGTATCTTCGAGTCTTTCCTCATTCCATCCGTGTTTCCCTTTAAACTCTTGAGTGCATTTCACATTGTTATGTTTCTTCCAATGTGCCCGCCTCTTCCCCTAATCAACTCTGTCACTGTCAAGTGCATTTCTATTAGCTGAGGATTCTCTTGGTGTGGGTCACATTCTCCTTTTCCTTGGCAGAGTCTAGTTGTCTTGATTGAATGGTGGATATTTTAAAGGTTCTATTGTTGACCGTTTAGGTATTTCTTTAGAGAGTATAGAGTTTTTATCTGATCACTAGTAACTTCTGAATGTGACTTTTCCCTTTAGGGATTGTTTAAAGCTTTATTAGAATGAAGATTCCAAATTCCCCAGCCATGGGTAGTTTGGAATGACTATTTGCAAGCTGAATGGTATCTGTATGAGTCGTTGTCCTGTATGAACTCTGACTTACTCCTCTTGGAGCTTTTGGTCACTCCTTGCCCACAGTTACAGAGCTACACTATTGGTGTGCACATCTCACTAGGAGACACATTTTCAAGGAGGCACGAATGCAGATTTTTCCATATAGTCCTTTCCTTTCTAGTACTTTGCCCTGACAACTTCCACCTAAAGTCTCTTCGACCTTTTA